GAGAAGCACGGAAATCTCAGTCTTTTAAAGCTCAGTCACAGATCAGAGATAGATTATCACTGTTGCCATATTCTGTTCATTAGAAGCAAGCCACTAGGTCCACCCCACAGTCCAGAGGAGGGCATGATACAGGGCAAGAAGACTGGAGATGGGGATTCTTGGGGCTCAAGTCAGAAGCTGCCACTCTGTGGGTCATAAAGATTTTCAGTGATATTTTTCCATTGTTAAAAAATAGCATTGTCAGCCCTACCCAGGTGTCACAGTTGGTTGGAGCATCATCCCCTACACCAAAAGATTGCTGGTTAGATCTCTCTCTCTCTCTCTCTCTCTCTCTCTCTCTCTCTCTCTTTCTCTCTCTCTTTCTCTCTCTCCCTCCCTCCCTCTCTCCTTTCCACTCTCTCTAAAAATCAATAAAAAATATACCCTCAGGTGAGGATTAAAAACAAAATAGCATTATCAAATATTGAAAAATATTTTTCAATTTTAGCTTTTACTTCTTTTTGTTCCCTTCTATTGACTAATTTTGGGACCTAGAATTTCTGGAACAATTTTAAATAATGGTATCTAATAGGAAATTCTTATTTTAAAACTAACTTCTTCTATTTCATTATTATGCAATGTGCTGATAGATGTTTTAAAGCATTTTTTATCAAGGCAAATTTATTCATATGTATAAAGAAAGCGTATGTTCTATCTCAGTCTTTATTGTTAAAACAAATTCTTTTGAATTTCTGTCTCTTTTAGGTTAATGCTCAATTTTTATGAGTTCATTTCTCAGCCCCTGTTTTTCCCTAAAATAATTTTGAGTTTGTAAGTGTGTGGGGGGGGGGGCGGTGGTGTAGGGGGATGATGATCTTTTGTTATTAAAGGAGATAGAAATGTGGAAATTATGTTTAAATAGTTACACTGTAGAACACAGTCATTGTCAGAATTACACAAGCTGAATAAAATTTTCTATTTTATATTGTCTAACATAATAACCCTACCTATTTGGTAGGAGTTACTTTAGATTATCTTATATATCTATATATTTAAATATATAAGATCAGCAAATCAGTATTCGGAGTAGTTTCTTTATCATTTCCTTTCTAATTATTAAGAATGTTTTTGAAATATTTTATTATTTGTAATTAAATTCCATTTGCATTGCTTTAGGATCAAATATGCCTGTCTATGCTCTTTCCACTTAGAATTATTGAGGGTCTTGGAAGAAATATGTAGTCTGTTCTTATGCTCTGGAGAAAATAGAAATTGAATTATATGTCACATGTATGATGTTTAGAGTAGAACCTGTCTTCCAAATTTGGCCTGACTGTTTATTGTTTTACTAGTAGATCCTCTAGAGTCTGTCTTCATGTATTTAACACCTACCCACTCTATCAGCTGTGAGTGGTGCATTCCAGTCTACAATGCTCCTCACCACCTGTTCAACAGGTAACTAGAGCTGTGTGTCCTACACACAGCGGTACGAGGTAGTCATTGTGTGAGCAGCAGCCACAGGATAAGCAGAGGGGTATCAGCTGGATTGGTCAGAACAGAGGGGATTTAAGCCAGGATTGTTGCACAGGTATTGAGGTTAGGGTTAGCGTTAGGGAGTGCGGAGACAACAGCAGGTGGCAGCATCCAGCCCTCCATGCTGTCTGGGAGGGCTTTCCCGGGAGGCCACCTTCCCAACTGCCCTCAGTGCCTCTGGCGCTCTGAGAAGAGACCTTTTGGAAGACATGAGATGAGTTGTAGAGCACCATGAGAAGGTGGACAGGAGCCAACTGTGGTGGCTATAGTGAGCAGTCACTGCTGTGACAATGGCGACAGGAATAAAAATGAGGAAAGAAGGCCCTTCCCTCATCTCCAGAATCCAAGCTCTCCGAGCCACTCGGCAAAGGAGTCAGGGAAATAAATGCAGGGTCCTGGTCCCCATGTCACCAAGGAGCATGGTGTAGAAGAAGGACAAAGTGACACAGTGGAAGCAGTGTCTTAGTTGGTCTTAATTATTTTTGACACTCAAATGTTCTACATGAGTAGGTTGCAAGCTCATTTGGGATTTCTTTGGAAGGTTTGAAATAGCCCATGGAAACTCTTTCATGAGTTGGTCTGGACCTGGGGAAGGACTAAGTCAGATTCTTTTGGGCAGTTGGATCTGTCGCTAATTGGCCCAGATGTGTGTTACTCCCTGAAAAGGGGGGCGAAGCAAAAACAAAAGAGAAACAATACGTAAGGATGACAACATCAACCAAGATGCTAGAATGTCCAAGAGTGGCTGTCAGATGCGGCCTGCCCCTGAGTTAAGGTGCAGTGTTTGGGGAGCAGAGGCAGGAGGATGGGTGCAGAAGGGACATGGGTTTCCTAGGAGAGGTGCCCTTGAGGCCAGGCATCTGTCCCCTTCTGTTGCTTCTCGTATGTCACCGCCTGGAGCAGAGTTTTTCAACCTCAGCACTGTGGACACTTGGAGCAGATAATTGTGCCTAAAGGCCATGCCTGCACATTGTAGGGATGTTGGTAGCATCCGTGGCCTCAGCCCACAGATTCCACTAGCACCCTCCTGGTTGTTACAACCAAAGGTGTCTCCAGACATTACCAATTAGGTGCTGGAGCAAAAGCACCTTCAGTTGAGAAGTGTGGTTTACAGCATCTAAATCCTCCTGCAGGGCTCCTCTGTTTGCTTGTTTCTAGTTATATGGGCAGTTCTTAGGGCTCAGGTTTGGCTCTGAGGCCATCGGGTTGCAGCTGACTTGAATGAACCCGGGGATAGTCTAGGTTATAGGCATGGGTCAGGAGCCAAGCCAGACAGAATGCCTTCCTGTCTCAGAAATGGTGCCTGTTGATTTATACTTGGGACTGAGAGGGAGAGCAGTGTAGGTTTTTCTGCATGACTGGACCTCCTCCAAGCTGCAGAGGTACAGGAAGTTATGGGGGTGGGAGCTAGGGTTACTCTGGAAGGCCATGTTCTGGCTGGAGAGATATAGCAAATTCTCTTTTTTCTTAGTGGTTTTTTTTTCTAACTTCTCAATTACAATATTGACATACAATATTATATTAGTTTCAGATGCACAGCAGAATGAATAGACATTTATATAACGTACCAACTGACCCCCCCCATAAGTCCAGTACCCACATGGCATCATCCATAGTTATGCAATATTATGAACTATACTAGGGACCCAGTGCAGAAATTCGTGCACCTTGAAGGGAACTGTGAGCCGTGAGGCTGCAGTGGGCACAGGGGCAGGTCTCAGCCCATCCTCGGTGCCCTCCCCCTATGGCCCCTGGTCCCGTCTGCTGGCAGCCCCACTCCCACCACTGCCACTCCCACGCACTGCAGGTGCTGGCCCCGCTTGCACCCACTAACAGTGCAAAGTGACTGGGGCCAGCGCCAGCAGCAGATGCAAGCAGTGGCTGCTGCCCCAAATGCCACTCAGGAGCAGAGGGAGATGGAGAAGTCCTGGACAGGTGCCGGGCAGGACCCTGGCATGCAGGAGCAAGGAATTTTCAGTAACCACCAGAGGCTCGCCCCATGACAGCAACCTTGGTCTGGTGCCCCCGCTCACCTGCTCCACCATTTCACCGCAGCCAACATCCACCATGTTTCGCACTCTGCCAGCCTGTTGCCAATGCCTTCCCTGTTCCGTGTGCGCCTCCTGGTGGTCAGCACATGTTATAGCGACCGGTTGTTTGGCTGTTTCACCGTTCAGTCTATTTGCATTATAAGGGTTTTATATAGAGAGATTCCCAAGGCTGTACTTTACATTATACTAGGTGAACTAATTCAGACCCAGAAAGATAAATACTGTGTGATCGTACATGCAGGATCTAAAATAGTGGCACTCATAGTAACAGAGAGGAGAGCAGGGGATGGGTGAGGGTTGGGGTGGTAGGAATTGGAGAGATGATGGTCAAAGGGCACACTCTCAGTTAAAAGATGGCTAACTTCTGGAGACAGAAGAAAAAAATATGCATTGATTCTATCCTCTTCCCATGACCAAGGGAGGCTCTATGACTTTTCACCCAAAAGAAAACTCTAACAATGATGGTTTCTCTACACAAAGTAACTAAAACCATCTCAGAGTAGATCAAATGGGTGACTGACGTGTGGAGAAAACTTTCAGTGGCTATTGTAGGTAAAATAGTGTCACACCTCCTCTGGCAAAGAAGGCCATATTCTCATCCCTGGAACTATGACTATGTCACCTGACACAGCCGAGGAGTTGAAAGTAGAATTAAAGTTGCCAATCACATCGCCTTAAAGCAGGGAGGTTATCCAGCTTACCCAGATGGGCCAGTGGCATTACAGGGGTCCCAAAGGGGAGCGGAGGTAGGAGCATTAGAAGGTGAGAAGGAGAGATGCCCATCACTGGCTTTAAAGATGGATGAAGCCAGGTGTCTGGTGATGAACAGCAGCAACTCCCCATTAATGTCAAGACAGTCTCCAGAAAGGGATGCAGCCCGGACCACTGAGCCTTAATTTAGCCCTGAGATACATGTCAGACTTCTGCACTACAAAACTACTTGTTGCACCTCAGGCCCCTGGGTCTGCGGTCATTTTCAGGGTTAGGCAGAGGAAGCTGAAGCCCTTGTTCCCAGTGGGGAGGAGAGGGAAGGGAGCAGGGGAAGCTTGTGGCCAGGCCCGGTGGAAGGTGGGGCCCAATGAATCTAGTCTCAGCTGGGAGCACATGGAGAGGCCCTGAGTGCTCACTGCCTTGGGCAAGCGTGAGGACAGGGTGTTTTCTCAGCTGTGACTCTGTCCCTGGTGCAGGATTCTGATGATGGTTCACTGACTGGGGAGGTCTGACTGCAGGGTACCTGTCCCTCCATCAGGGACAGAACCCCAGGGAACAAGGTCAAGCATCTTCCCAAGGGGAAAGCAGCCCCTCGGTGAAAGCTAAAGGGGGCCGGGCTGGGCACAAAGGGTAGGGAGAATGAAAGCGTCCCCATGAAGCCTGGAACTGAGCCATGAGCTCATGCAGACCAGATGAAAAAATGCGACCAGACAGCACTGCAGCGAGAATAGAGCACATGTGTGTACACAGTGGCTCTGTGTTTGCGAGTGCTTCTTTATTATTTATTGAGGACTCAACAAGAATCCTTGTGACAGACAAGACAGTGAGAGATGGGGATGGAGAACCAGAGAATGAAACATCCAAACAAGCAAAACCCTTTGAAAGGCCTCAGTACTGAGGGGGTATCGTCGGGTCGATCCGTGGTTGGTGTCCCATGGGCAGGCAGCACGGCTGGCCGCTTAGACATCTCCCAGCCTGGACTTCTGTTTCGAGGCAGAATACTTGGCAGGAGCCGTTTGGACGCTCACAGATCTCCTTGAATTTGCCCCAGGCTGCACAGAGAAGAGGGTTATTGTAACTATTGAGTCATCTCTCTGAAGTCTATTGAAGCACACAGAGGGGGAGCGTGTCTCAAAATTATGTTGTGTTGATTGCTGTTGCTGTTTGAGTCCTAAAGCCAACACTTAAAAATCTGCTTTCCCTCAAAGATTTGGATTCTTGGCATTTTGGGGGAATGTGTCTAAGTAACAACAGGCCAGGCTGGGGAGCTGCGCCCCTTTGGCAGTTCCAGGCAGAAGCACCAGCTTCTCCCAGCCCTTCTCACTCCTGAGTAGCTCCTCATGCTGATGCACAGGTTGAGTTTCATTTTAAATCACCCCTGGACTGCTAATGATAGTAAGAGGTATCAATGCCAGCGTGCCCAGGTCTCCTTATTCTGGAACCAAAGGCCAGTTCTTGGATAGCTTCTAATCATTATAGAGCGTTTATATACATCCAGAAAATACCTCTCGAAACCCAGATGCATTACATTGAATTTATCTCTTCAGTGTTCACAAAGCAATTGGTTAATGGCTATGAAGATTAAATATGCAACATCATATTTTTACTGTATAGATGAAATTCAGAAGTAATTTAAGGGTATATTGTTGTTTTTAAATCAGTGACCATTGTCATTGTTGAGCACTGTGTAGAAATCACTTGAAATCTGAGTTTTTCATTCCCTGGGCTGCACATCTCTTCCTACTGCCTGCAACCAGCTCAACTACTGTGTAGATGGGCCCCAATGAAATTGGGCTAGAACTGGCCTGTTGCCACTAGAAGGGTCATCTGAGGTTAGAATATGAGAGGATGAAGCACTGGCATATCCTGTGACACATTAGAAGTCACGCTGAGATGTCCCTCTATTGGGGCATGTCTTGCATTCTACTCTCCTGTCCTGCCTCCACCTGACCCCACTGCTGGGTGATGAACACCTTACTCTTTTCTGTATGTATATCCCAGAGCTCAGCTCAAGTCTTGGCACATCATAGGCATTCAGCAAACAGTTGTGCAATACTTGGTTAATGCAGAGCTATTTTTTATCCTTTAGCATGTTGGTACAGACATGTGTTGTCACTTTGATGGCACACATCTTGGAGGTAAGTGTGCTGTTTTGTGGCAATTGACAACTGAACATTTCCTTTTAAATCACAAAGGAGCTCTATAAAAATATGACCCACTGTTACCTGTGTGTGTAAGAAGCCAAGTAACATTCAAGGTATTTTTCTTACTTTTGGGGCCATTCATTCCCTTATAGAGTGTGGGGTAGTCAGCACACTCCACACATAAACAGAGACACACTTGCACACACGTGCACACACACGCAGACTGTCACTGAGGGAGAGTCAGGTGGACAGAAAGCCTCAAGCACTCTTAGTACTAAACAGGTGCCATGGTTCTGACTCCCAGTCAGGTCCCCTAAGGCTCAGGACCTGGGCTCTCAAATATCACATTGTTCTTGATTTACCTTTCTTTTAGTCATTTTCTAAAGGTCCCACGTAGGAAACTTTTCCTCCACCACATCCAAATGCTGTGTTTGGGGCTTTTTGTCTGTTCCCTGGCAATGAAGATGGCTGACCCGTGACTTTGTGGAAGTGGAGGGCCATCACATCCTTTTTCCCTCATATGCTGCTTCCTAGTACGGGTGCACAGCAGTGCTTAATTAGCAGATACCTGAGAAATAGAACTGTTTTCCCACCTCCAGTCTCCCCCAACTGCAACCTCCAGAGTAGTTCTAAAATCGAGTTGATATTTGCCTCACAAGCTGCGCCCACAACCTCCCAAACCCAAAGTACTATCTACCTGTTCACAGTAAGTATTCCTTTAAAACACGGATTTTGACAGGCAAGTCTGGATTCACCAAGAATAGGCATGCCCCCAAGCATATTTTCTGTTGAAAAATTGGGGAAGTGTCTTTTTTCAAACAGGAGAAAGCATAGCAACCAACAATTCCTTAAAATATAAGAGGATTGTCCACATTTACACATGTCTGACTACTTGGATACTCCTCCCTGACCCTTGAGGGCTTGAATTCTCAGGAAAAGATAAGATATTCCACTAGATCTAGAGCAATAGGTTGCTTATTCTACACACCCAAGAGCCTACACACCCAGGAGTTGTAGGGAATTTCCTGGTCTATCTTGGGTGTCTGGTCATCTCCTTGAGTGAAAGCAAGGAGATGCCCACAGATGCTACGCACCTGGGATGCACCTGTGCATGCTGAGTGCAGGAAGATACACTCTAGTGCAGTGTAGTCTCTGATCCCTTTGTTTAACTAGATGTTGAAAAGGAAGAGGAAAAGCCAAGTGTGGAGATGGAGCATCACTGGGCAGAGCCAAGCCCGGGGGACCAACATTATGGAGGCACAAGTTGGAGAATTCTTAGACGCACAGTACACCTTTCAAATACCCCCCTCACTAATCCCTTCTGCCTGGGGCCCTACAGCTCTGGTGTAGCTCTCATGCCAGCATCTTAGGGTAACTGGGCCTCTTCAGACCTTTTGGTGAAAGTAAGCAGGGGATTTCTGGAGGCCACATTTAGTAGGATAACTCACCATTTTTTTTGTTTGTTTGTTTGTTATCTAGGTCTAGAAACTGCTAGTAAATTTGCCTAATTAATTTTATTTTTAGAAATGGAGAAGATAAGGTTTCAAGCACTTGAAACACCTTCAATTTCATTTCATCTGAGTGGCTATGGAGAACTAAAGAGACGTGGCTGCAGGTAAGTGGTTGAGGGCTCTCAGCCAACAGGTCTTCCAAGTTTGCTATGAGACCCTCCACAGGGCACAGGTGACAGACTTCTGCTCTGAGCACTGGATCCCCATGAGGTCCAGGCACTTAGCCCTTACCAAGGCTCTGCAGAGTTCATTTGGTTACCTGGTGGAACTTGGCTCAGAGAGAGAAGAATGGTACAGAGGAAGACAGCAATCCTCATGGCTTCCGAGAGGAGAAAGCTTGGCTTCGTTTCCAGGAGGCAGAGAAAACTTCCGTCTGCGGTTCTCACAGCAGTGGAATGTCTGTGTCTGGGTAGTAAGTGCCTTTCTGTACCTCATTAGGGATGTTCCTGGACAGAGAGGTCCTATGAAGACACAATGGCCTTCATAAGGAGACCAAAAATCCTTGTTTTATTGGACACTTGGTTCATTAGGAGGATGTGGGTGCACAGTTTTGACCAGAAATCCTTATGAAATGGGAACATAAGGTACAAACATTTTGGCAACAGATTAAGGTCTATGAACAAAGAGCTCTCTATATTGTTACAATGAGCCAGACTATGTTGAGAAACCAGCCAGTTTAGTCAGTGACTAGACACTTTGTTAGTGAACACTTCCTGGGCTTCATTAGCCCTGCTAATAACTAATGCCCTCCCCCCACCCCCACCCCCACTACTCCTGGTCTGAATGTCCAGGTGCTCTGCTTCCATATAGTGTTCACTATACCATGTTAGTTTGCTGAACATACATTCACCTCCCTGATAATGTGTGAGCTTCTTATTTGCCAGGACCATGCTCTGCTCCCCAGAGCTGAGGAGACTGTTGCGTCTTGCGGCCATATCCTCCCAGGTCCTCCACATCAGCTGTCAAAGTGCGGGGCAGTGAGATGATGAACGTGGAGGCAGTGGGTCTGGATTTAACTTCTAATTCTCTAGACCTGCTGCTAATGAGAGGTCTGGTCCTCCTCACATCTCAGCAGCATCTGTTGAATGTAGATCAGGGGACTCTCAGTCATTACTGTGCATAAAACCAACTGGGAAAGTGGCTTCCAAATGCACACTTAGATCTGCTCCAAGAAAATTAGTTTGGTCAGGTGGAGGGAGCCTGGAAGTCTGCATTTTTAACAAATTTCCCAGGTAGCGATTCTGAAATTTATTCTGGAATACTCACTGAAAAATGTTAACTTAGATCATCCTTAGGCTTCTTTCTAGTTCTAATATTAGCATATTCTAAATTCTCTGACTTACTAGAATAAATGTCATGTTTGACTTTTATGAGTGTTAGGAACTGTGTGTGTGTGTGTGTGTGTGTGTGTGTTTGCAGCATGGAAGGGGGAAGCACACACCTTAATCCATGCATAACTGGATTCTAGTTTTATAAGGAATACTCAGGGATTGGCCTGGGTGAATAAGATGATAGAGAGACCAATTTGGAAGAAGGCTATTGCAGTAATCAAGGTTCAGTGAGGCTCCAAACTATACAGAGAGAAGGGAGGGAAGATGTTTGCAATACAAATTATAGGGATGTAATGACATGTGGAAAAAAAAAAAAAAGTGGGCACATGCGAATAACCCAGTCTGCTTGCCCTGAGTGCCAAGGTATAGGGCAACAGCTTTGGTTCAGGACTGGAACAATGAGTGCACTTTCCTGGTGGCAGCCCCAACACGGCTCTCACTAATCTCCATCCTAGTGTGCATGCCCTTGTGTCAACCCCTTCCCACTGAAGGAGATGACATGTGTAACCAATGAGATAGTGCCCAAATGATGGGTGTCAGTCCCAGACTCAATCATCAGGGATGTTATGGGAACCCTCCCTCTGGGTGAAATCTGCTTACATTTCATGAAGCTACTCAAGCAAGATGCTGGATGTGTCCATGTGGTTAGAAACTAATGCCCCTTGCTAACAGCCTTTTGAATGTGACATCTCAAAGGAAGATCCTCCAGACCAAGCCAAGCTGGGCTGCCTGATCCCTGTCTCTGTGCCTTCCAGCAGCACCAGCATTTCTGTGGCACCCACCGAAATGTAGAACCTTCCAGAGGCTTGGGCGGGCTTTGGAAGCCATCACTGCACACCTATATTAGAAAACATCAGGTCCAAGGCGCCCGAGGTAGAAAATTTTCCAGTCTTTCCAGGACCTGGGCTGCCAAGTTGAACTAGAAACACATTTGCTTTGACAAAGCTCCTGAAAGTGATGAGTTTCCTGGAATGATCAAGTCCCGCAGGAGGCAGGGATGAGCACAGGTCCGCAGGGCAGATTTGGGGAGAGCATCTCTGTTCAGGCTCAGCCTCTGCAAACATTCAGAAGTGCCCTCAAGGGCCCAGCAACCACTTCCCCTGCCTGAGGCCAAAGCGAGGGCATCCCTGCCCTGCAGGAGCCAACACAAAACCTTCTAAGTCAACTTAGAAACTGCTCCTGGGATGGCATGGACAGCAGTGAATAGCATCAGGGACACTTCTGGGGGCCAGGCCACTGGTTCCTATTTGGAATGACAGAGAGGGTGTCCCAGGAACTTCATCCTCCAATTTTTCTAGTCAATTTTACACTCTGGGAGCTGCCATTATTGACAATGGACATCTTTTGGTGCTTGAGGTTCCAGGAATGGTATAAGTCCCCTCCAGTGTACAAGGAAGGCTTTATTCAGCTGCACTAAAAGCACGGTAAAGGTCACCCATACCTGAGCAACAGCCAAATTCTGTCTCCAAATGACAGAAAGAACCACTGCTGCTGGGCCCCTGCTGGCCAGGGGGTACACAGACCATGCCTTGAACAGACCCTGCAGAGAGATGGAACCTACCTGTCCTGACAGGAAGGGCCTGGCAGATCCACCAGGTGGAAGAAGGCAGTTACATGATGAGCACTAAAGTAGTTCTGGGGCTGAAAATCCCCTGAAGGCAGCGCTGCTGTGTGGGATAGATGTGGCTTTGGAGCTCCTGCCTTCCTCACAGGGCTCTCTGCCAACCAGGCATCTGGGGGAAGTACTGAGAGCTACCCAGTGCCCTGTGGCATGTAGCATTAGAGTCCTCAGATCTCCAGACAATGCTAAGGAAAGACTTACCAGTGTCAAACCGGCATTTGAACTTGTAATTTATTTTGTAAGAAACTGAGTCCACAGACAGGACTATCACAATATAATGTAAACCAGAAGCTATGACATTAATGTGTAAATGGCTAGGGAAGCTCGGGGTAACGTACCCACCTAGAGCGTCTGCATCTCTCCAGCAGCACATTGGCCTGAAATGCAAGTTTTCAATATCGTAGAGGTATTTTAGTGGAAACAATCATAAGGAATATTCTTTTGGCCTTGTCCATGTTAGTTACTGTTGGTCACTGTAAATGTGTGTTTAAAATTGTTGTTAATAAAGTTCTCTCAAATATGATATTCTATAGGAACTTTGATTTCTAAACATTTCTCACCTTTATAAAACTTAACTTATCCAAGTTCATTCACCAGAGAATAAAGAGGATTTTTGTTGGATCTGTGGCTTATTAGATATAAAGAGTCTCGGGCACAGCCCAGCTCCGCTGCAGCACTGCACGCGTGTCAGCAATGTCCCCACAGTCTGCACACACATTAAAGTGTGATCAGCCTGGCATTTAGATCAGTTCTCAATTTGGGTTACACTGGAACCACTTGATGAGAGACAAAAGCTACTGATGTCTGGATCCTTCTCTCAGAAGTATAAGTTCAGCGAGTTCTTGTGTGAGTCCTGAGCACTGGGGCTGTTAAACATGTTCTAAAACATTTGAATTCTCTAATCAGGGAACTTGCAAAAAATATGCAACCCATCTGTACCCCAGAGGAGTCACTTCAGTTGACTTTTAGCCTCACAAAGCTCACACTGTGTGTAAACCAGAAACACAGAAGGTTTGATGGAGAAGGTGGGTCAGAAGCTGGAGGGTTTACACGGGTAGAGCTATGTCAATTGACTCCCATGTACAGAAAGAAGCAGATGAGGAAAAACAAAATGGGGGAAGACTTCAGATATCAGGATTCTTTTAACTCAAATCACATACAGTCTTGGCTCCTCAATCTGTGTTCAGGTCTCCATAGACCTGAGGATGAGGAGTGAGATGTGATCCAGTTAAAGGATCTCAGACTGGGAGACCTGGGGGAGCAGTGGCATGGACCCCAGAGTGTTGATTGTCCCCCTGCCTAAGAAAATGTGATCTGCCTGAATTTAAATCCTTTTGAGTCTAAATATTTTTTTAAATGAAAGTCGGAGAAACTTGTATTAGCCCTTAGAAAACCAGAAGGTTTCTTCTTTGGAAATACCTTTAAGATATTTCTGCAGCATGAATAGCTGGTTTGTATAACCTTGCCAAATTTTCTCTACCCCGAACTTCAGAATTTACACAGGAAATTTTAACTCACATATTTCACATTAACGTTTTATTAAAGGCTTAAGTGAGGCAACTGAAATGTGAAAATCCAGTTTTACACGGCTCCTAAATGTTCACGTGAGAGATATTCCAATTGTGTGTGTCTAAAAAGAATGAAAAAATGGATTTCTCATTGTTGAAAGCAAAATCTACCTACCTCCTACGGAGCACATTTTTCAAATTAAAAATACTCTTTCAGATAACGGGGAGTAAAAATTAGGGAAAATGTGAAATTAAAAATATTTAGAAAATAAAGACTTGTGCAAGTTGTAGGATGCCATCTATATTTGCCTCAAAAATATCTGAATGTATACATCTCAAGAATTGTGAACTATAACATTAAATGTAAAGAAGGAGAAAGGGATACATACATACATACATACACACACATGTGCACAGACATACTCGCACACAGGCAGTGATTTTGTTCGTTTAAAGCAATTGCTCACCACCCCCGTCCTTCCTGCCCCACGGGGCCCCTTAAGTCCCTGCAACTGAGAACAAAGTGGAAACCAAGTTCTGTGGTTGTCGGTGTGAAATGCTCGTTTCAAGCTGGCAGGTTTGGTGCTCCTGTTCTAGCTCCCGTCAGAAAAGGAAGAACAGCCAGGCCACGTGCTCAGGGGCTGAGCGGCGGCCTAGGAACCAGGAGGTCACAGCTCCATCCCCTGCAGGGCTCACGCCTGGTTTGCGGCTCCACCCCAGTAGGGGGCGTGCAGGAGGCAGCCGGTCCATGATTCTCTCTCATCACTGACGTTCCTCTCCCTCCCTCCCTCTCCCTTCCTTTGTCAAATCAATAAAAATATATTTTAAAGAAAAAGAAAAGGGAAGAATAAGGAAGTTTACATGGGGGGAACCTCAGATGTTCAGGATCCACCCACAGCGACCTTCCCTGGTGGCACGTGTTCACAGAGGGTTTGACTGACACCGTTTTCAAGGGGGGGACGAGGAAGTGCCTCCGCATTCGGTGTCAGCGGCTCCACAACTCACCGTTTTTATAATAAAGCCGGTGACTCACTGAACGCCGGGCAGGGTGGGCGGCGGCCCAAGGGACACCCACCTCACCCGGAAGGAGACAGGAGACGCAGGTTCCGCGCCCGGAAGTGCCTGCGGCGGGGCGGGACTGAAGGACGCCAGGCCCCGCCCCCAAGCGCTGCAGACGCAGCTCGCCCTGGCAGGCCCCGCCCCTTCGGCTCGCAGCTTCCTGCCGACCCGGAAGCAGATTCCCCGCTCTAGGGTTCCGTTGGCGGGAGCGAGTTTTGGTATTTCCAGGTCAGGATCGCTCGTGGATACCCCAGCGCCGCGTCCTCCACACCCGCAGCCCGGGACCCAGGGACCTGGAGGAACTGCGCCCGCCCCGTCCGCCCGCCCCAGCCGCGGGGAGCCCCGCCCAGTCGGGGAGCTGCGGGCCCGGTCCGCTCCCTTGCAGGTAAAATCGCCCCGCCCCGCCCTGCCTGCCGGGGCCCTTTGCACCGTCTCCTCTCCGCACCGCGCAGCGCCGGCCGCCCCGCAGGCCCCCTTGAGATCCTCCCCCCGGCCAAATCGGGGCGCCTTCCGGGAGCCCACCGCGTCCTGGGCACTTCCGGTTCCTTGGCCCTCAAGCCCCGCCCACCGGCCCAGCTGTCAGGCTTAGTGTTGACAGTCCTGTCCCACTGGGAGTGCGCTTCCTGCGCGGGACCTCCTCATCCCACCGGTGCGCGAGGGTCGGGTGGATGGTGAGAAAGACCCGGAGGGGCAGGAAAAAGAAGGGAAAGGCAATGGGGGTGGAAGATGGGACCTGGGCAGAGAGCAGTGCCGTAGGGGCAGAGAGACCAGGACCGCAAGCAGGGGAGGAGACAGGCCAGCGGGAGGGATTTGGCCAGCACCCGGGCAAAAGGAAGGCAGATCCCAGCGTCATTGGAGTTCCGTTGTCAATCAACAGCTTCTGTTCCCACTGACATGTATTCTGTCCGGTTCCGATGAGGAGGTTCTGATCGGAAGACACTCCTTGGTGCTGAGCAGATAATCGTACACTATTTCAATGTGTAAGCATGTTGGTGATTTATTTTACAGGAACAGTCAAAGCCGAGTTTCATCGATGAGTTCAACATTCAACATGTTCCTCCCCTTGCGTAATCTTTTAAGTTAGCTGGCTGTGAACTAAAATTTCCAGCGAGGTCTGTGTCCTCTGTGTCCTGTATCTGAAATCGAGCGAGGATAGGCTGGGTCGTCATGGAATTTTGTGGGAAGAGAGCTTATCTGGCTTCTACGTTGCTCAGAGCTATTTTCATGATTCCCAGTGCTGCTAATTAGGTCTGCCAGCAGTCATAATTTGTTGTTGTTGTTGTTGTTAATCCTCACCCAAGGATATTTTTTCCATTGATTTTTAGAAAGAGTGGAAGGTGGAGGGAGAGGGAGAGAGAGAAACATCGATGCGAGAGAAACACATCAATTGGTTGCCACCTGCATGCATCCAACCAGGGCCAGGGATCCAGCCTGCCACCTAGGTACCTGAATCAAACTCAGAACGCTTTAGTCCACAAGTTGATGCTCTATGCACTGAGCCAGATCAGCTAGGGCTGATAGTTTATGTGATATTCTGGGAACGAAGAATTAAATACTTGACATCATTGTGATTAAAGCCATAAATGATGGGAGAAGTGGCTCCTGCTCAGTGGTATGAAATTTGAGTTGTACTTTTTAAAATTTTTTATATGTTTTTATTGATTTCAGAGAAAGGAAGGGAGAGGGAGAGAGAGATAGAAACATCAATGATGGGAAAGAATCATTGATCAGCTGCCTCCTGCCCGCTCCACACTGGGGATCGAGCCTGCAACCCAGGCATGTGCCCTGACCTGGATTGAACTGTAACCCCCTGGTTCATGGATCGCCACTCAACCACTGAGCCACACCAGTGGGTGGGGGCTAAGCTGTACTTTTTAAGGGCAGGGGTGAGAAGGGCACACCCTGCCACTCTCCCATCCATGCCTGTCCTTCCTGTGAGGACAGTGCTGCTCCTCTCTACTGGCCTCTCCTGCTGACCTCCTTGCCTGCCCCACAGTCACAACTGAGGGTATGTCAAAAGCATCTCCCCAATGAGGAGAGGGCAGATTCTGTGAAGGGAACTTGGAGAAGGAATAAGAATAAGGATCAGGGAGTGGGAGGAAGACAGACACTCAGGAGCAGGAGAAATTTGCTTGGTACATACTTGGCCTTACTAAACTTCTTGCAGTATTTTAAAGTGGAAATAATCACATTATTTTTCTATTCTTCAAGGGAGGATATCTGTGAAATGCTTAGTGTCAACAGTTGTGGCAAGGAGTTTTTTTAAGTTCATAGTCTTTAGTGAGTAATAGAAACTTTACTAGATGATATTAATATCCTCTTAATAGCATCCAATAGGAGCAAATGTGTGTAGGCGCAGCAGAAACTCTCACTAAACTTCTGTTTTCTTTCAAAAGTCTGCGTGCTATATGAAAACATATATGCTAATGTAAAAAAAAAAAAAAAAAAAAAAAAACCTCCTCTTGCCTGGACTTTGTCTAGTAACTGTATGACTTTCAAAGTGGCTCATTATTTGTTGACTGTACATATTGCTTACTACCAAAAGGATGGTGTAGAATAAGCCATCATTTGAATTTCCTCTGTAATCTACACATTAAATGAATTTTTATTTAGATGTGTTAATTGTTCCAAAATGCTGAAATACAAATGAGTAAAAAATGATCCTATATAATAAAAGGGTGGTATACAAATTGTTCCCTTGACCAGGAGTTCTACCAGGGGGCAGGGCCAGCCAGGGGAAGGGAGGGAGTATCCAGCCAGCAGCTGCTAGGGACCGTACCAGTGCACTAATTTCATGCACTGGGCCTCTAATAGAACATAAAAATATATCTGGAAAACAATCTGCCATTCAGAGACAACTCTTATATTGATTCATTTACATGTTTTGTGTGTGTGCCTTACAGGGGATCTGGCCTCTGGGAAGGTGTCTGGACTCAAGGACCATGTCCTGCCCACCAGTCCCCCAAAGCCCCACCTACTACGAACATTAAGACTAAAGCCTTTCCTGGCCCTGTCCTGCTGCACTTTTTGCCTTGTGTTCCACTCTACCACCTTCAGGTGTGTACTTCTGGCATCCCGCTTCTGAGCCTGGGGCTGTTGGTGGGAGCTGGGGCTGTTTTGGGAGCCTGCATTAGCCCCTCCTTGCCCTGTTCCACGCCCGCAGGCCTGTGGAGCAGCATGAGCAGTTCTGTGGTTCTGTAGCACACTTAGAAAATACTGCAAAGGCTCCAGAAGGCTTGGACCTCCTCTCTAGCTTTCTATGCTTGTTCCCTGGGCCTGGGGGATTTTAATAAGTTGTAAGCTGTCCATTACTGAAATTGTTGAATAATTTTAAAATAATGTTCTGCTACAGGCGAAGGATTTCTTGAATATTAACTTTCAATAACTTTCACTTCTACCTCTTTTATACTTGAGCCTTTTTAATAGCTGCTGCATCTTTTTTTCATTGAGTTTAGTTCTCCTTAAATCACATGGTGATTATTTAGAGAGAAATATATGTCTGCAGCAGGAACTCTGCCTGGCTCAACATGATGACTGTTTTCCACAGTACATTTGGAACATGTGTGGGAGCTGGCGGAGGTTCCCCACGATCTAAGAAAGTTCATGGCTTCTACATAGTTCATAGTTCTCATCCACACAGGACCTTTCTTGATGCTGCCACTTGGAGGCACACAGCACGACTCTTAGGTGCATTCCTCCCACACACAGGGATGTCCTGTTTCCCGTGCATAGGGCTTCCCCAGAGAGCCCTGTATTTCATTAGAAGAAAAATTCTTAAGATGAAAAAAGATTTTACATTTAAACCTAAATTTGCCTTGAAATCAAAACCCAACATAATCCCATGGCCAATGCCTTGTTAGTTTTCCTAACTCTTCCTTCCCTCTTCTGGGATTATCCATATTCTCTGGGTTACCCCCATCAGTAAACTGTATTATGGAGCATCTTGGGCAGTGAACTGTCCTAGGGAGTGGCTACCTTTTCCCAGTTATCAGATCCTTGCATTAATCTGGTTTTTCTCTTCCAGATCTGATCAAAAGGCCTGTCCTCCCTGTTGAGTGACTCAGAGGAAAATAAGAAAAAATAATGTCCAGAATCCAGACATTTAAACAACTCTTCCGTACCTCAGACCTCTTCACTCACCCAGGAAGGCCAAGGATTCAGGTTTCCATCCCTGTACAGGCACACGGCGGGCAGAGAGCAGAGCGTGGTATCCACTAGACGCTGCCTGTTCTGTGATGCTGAAGACTCTCCTTCCTGTGCACTGCAGAGAAGACTCAAATTTCCAGGTGTGGACCAATATCCAGGGGGCAGATGTTCTCGCTGTTCTGAGAAGAGCAGGTGCTGCAAAGCTCAGGGTAGAGCAGGTGTTTGAGGGATATCAGAGTTCAGGGCACAGTTGGAGCAGGGGCAGGGAGCATCCAACCACTTTCTGGCCTTGTGGCCGCAGAGGGCAACTGGGTCACAGGTGGAACCTTGGGCTTCCCTGGGGTTTAGAGATGAATGTCACTTTCCTTCTCTGCAGAGCTTTTCAGCACGGGAAGATGCTCACTGAATATTCTGAACCATGGAGATGTGTACCTGACACCTTTCAGGGTATGTACGGACCCTCTTGGGGAAATCATGAGGGACTCCTTGGTGTACTTGGGATGGCTGTTCTCACACACAGAAACCACCCCAGGCTCCTAGAGTGGGCAGATGTAATGGATCCGTGGAGCTCTGAGATTGTCCAGGGTCCTTATCATCAGTAATTGCACTTCTTGATTCAAGTTAAAGGTGATTAATTTTAGTTCCTTAATTATCAGAACTTTTGGCTGTTGCAGGGAGAGACCCCTGTTATAAGGCATCTCTTCTGATAACACATGGGACCAGAGTTTTAGTCGTTGCGTATGAGAGGCTAAATGGTTGTGACATCAGTCTGGCTTTAATGAGGGGAGTGGGTAAGAAGATATAAGTTATTACAGCAGTGATCCTCCGTGTTCCAACTGTGAGCACTTCACACTCATTGAACACTTGCACACCACCAGCCTGTGGGGAAGCTTGACTCTGTCCCCAGCCTGGGCCCTTACCTCTGCCATCCAGTCCAGGAGAAACTTGTTCAACATTTTTTTGGTCTTGGGGCACTAATCTTCCGTGATGAAGATGAAGGTGATGGTGATGATGGTGATGATGACACTTCTTAAAATATCAACTGCTTATACTTAAAATGAATGTATACTGCATGATTTTTCTTCAAAATCTATTTGTTCTTTTGTATATCTGTATCTCCATTTATCTTAAGATCATGTCCTTAGTCTGTCAAATGTTTAATATTTTCAAAAGCGTTAAAGCACATAGTCCATATAGGAAAATCAATAGTGAAGCTAAATCATTTATTCTAGGAAGCCCCAAGCTTTTGAAACTTGTAGGGTTTCACAGTCCTTAATCATTAGCTAAATCTAAAGAGACCTTCGGTGCATTGTTTTTCTATTTCTTTTTTTTTTTTAATTTTTTTTTTTAATTTATTGCTTAAAGTATTACAAAGGGTATTACATATGTGTCCATTTTACCCCCCTTCCCTAGACAGTCCCCTAGTCTCCCCTATCCCCCAGTGTCTTATGTCCACTGGTTATGCTTATATGCATGCATACAAGTCCTTTAGTTGATCTCTTACCCCCCTACCTCCTGCCCCCCAACCCTCCCCGGCCTTCCCGCTGCAGTTCAACAATCTGTTTGAGGCAGCTCTGCCTCTGTATCTATTATTGTTCAAAAGTTTATAATGGTCTCTATTATCCATGAATGAGTGAGATCATGTGGTATTTTTCTTTCATTGACTGGCTTATTTCACTTAGCATAATGCTCTCCAGTTCCATCCATGACATTGCAAATGGTAAGAGTTCCTTCCTTTTTAGAGCAGCATAGTATTCCATCGTGTAGATGTACCACAGTTTTCTAATCCATTCATCTACTGATGGGCACTTAGGCTGTTTCCAGATCTTAGCTATGGTGAATTGTGCTGCTATGAACATAGGGGTGCATATATCCTTTCTGATTGGTGTTTCTGGTTTCTTGGGATATATTCCTAGAAGTGGGATCACAGGGTCAAATGGGAGTTCCATTTTCAGTTTTTTAAGGAAACTCCGTACTGTCTTCCATAGTGGCAGCACCAGTCTGCATTCCCACCAGCAGTGCACAAGTGTTCCTTTTTCTCCACATCCTCTCCATCACTTGTCGTTTGTTGATTTGTTGATGATAGCCAGTCTGACAGGTGTGAGATGGTACCTCATTGTTGTTTTGATTTGCATCTCTCAGATGATTAGTGACTTTGAGCATGTTTTCATATGTCTCTTGGCTTCCTGAATGTCCTCTTTTGAAAGGTGTCTATTTAGGTCCTTTGCCCATTTTTTGATTGGATTGTTTATCTTCCTTTTGTTAAGTTGTATGAGTTCCCTATAAATTTTGGAGATTAGGCCCTTATCAGATATGACATTGGCAAATATGTTTTCCCACACAGTGGGTTTTCTCGTTGTTTTGTTGATGGTTTCTTTTGCTGTGCAGAAGCTTTTTATTTTGATGTAGTCTCATTTGTTCATTTTTTCTTTAGTTTCAAGTGCCCTAGGAGCTGTATCAGTGAAGAAATTGCTTCGGCATATGTCTGAGATTTTGTTGCCTTTGGATTCTTCTAGAATTTTTATGGTTTCCTGTCGTACATTTAAGTCCTTTATTCATTTTGAGTTTATTTTTGTGTATGGTGTAAGTTGGTGGTCTAGTTTCATTTTCTTGCATGTATCTGTCCAATTTTCCCAACACCATTTATTGAAGAGACTATCTTGGCTCCATTGTATGTTCTTCCCTCCTTTGTCAAATATTAATTGAGCATATTGGTTCGGGCCGATTTCTGGGCTCTCTATTCTATTCCATTGATCTATATGCCTATTCTTGTGCCAGTACCAGGCAGTTTTGAGAACAGTGGCTTTGTAATACAACTTGATATCTGGTATTGAGATCCCACCTACTTTGTTCTTTTTCAGGATTGCTGCAGCTATTCGGGGTCTTTTTTTATTCCAGATGAATTTTTGGAGAGTTCGTTCTAGATCTCTGAAGTATGCCATTGGTATTTTAATGGGAAGTACGTTGAATTTATAGATTGCTTTGGGTAGTATGGACATTTTAATGATGTTGATTCTACCAATCCATGAACACGGTATGTTCTTCCATCTCTTTATGTCTTCCTCTATCTCTTTTTTCAACGTCCTGTAGTTTTCTGAGTAGAGGTCTTTTACCTCTTTAGTTAAGTTTATTCCTAGGTAGCTTAATTTTTTTGGTGCGATGGTAAACGGGATTGTTTTTATAATCTCTCTTTCTGAAAGTTCACTACTAGTATATAGAAATGCCTCAGATTTCTTGGGGTTAATTTTGTATCCTGCTACATTGCCAAATTCATGTATTAAGTCTAGTAGTTTTTTGATGGAGTCTCTAGGGTTTTGTATGTATAATATCATGTCGTCTGCAAATAAGGACAGTTTTACTTCCTCTTTTCCAATTTGGATGCCTTTTATTTCTTCTTCTTGCCGAATTGCAATGGCTAACACTCCCAGTACTATGTTGAACAGGAGTGGTGAGAGGGGGCATCCCTGTCTTGTTCCTGTTCTTAGGGCAAATGGTGTTAGTTTTTGTCCATTGAGTATGATGTTGGCTGTGGGCCTGTCATATATGGCTTTTATTATGTTGAGGTATGATCCTTCTACTCCCACCTTGCTGAGAGTTTTTATCAAAAATGGGTGTTGAATTTTGTCAAATGCTTTTTCTGCATCAATTGATATGACCATGTGGTTTTTTTCTTTCAATTTGTTTATGTGATGTATCACGTTTAATGATTTGCGGATATTGTACCATCCTTGAATCCCTGGGATAAATCCTACTTGGTCATGGTGTATGATCTTTCTGATGTACTGCTGGATCCGATTTGCTAAGATTTTGTTGAGGATTTTGGCATCTATATTCATGAGGGATATTGGCCTATAATTCTCTTTCGTTGTGTTGTCTTTACCTGGTTTTGGTATTAGGGTGATGCTGGCTTCATAGAATGAGCTTGGAAGTGTTCCTTCCTCTTGAATTTTTTGTAGTAGTCTGAGGAGGATAGGTTTTAGTTCTTCCTTGAATGTTTGGTAAAACGCCCCTGTGAAGCCGTCTGGTCCTGGGCTTTTGTTTGATGGAAGATTTTTGATGACTGCTTCAATTTCTTCCATAGCTATTGGCCTGTTGAGATTTTTAGATTCTTCCTGATTGAGTTTTGGAATGTTGTATTTTTCTAGGAATTTGTCCATTTCCTCCATGTTGTCTAGTTTGTTGGAGTAGAGCTGTCCATAGTATTTTTTAACAATCATTTGTATTTCTGTGGGGTCTGTTGTTATTTCGTCTCTATTGTTTCTGATTTTGTTTATTTGGGTCCTCTCTCTCTGCTTCTTGGTGAGTCTGGCTAGAGGTTTGTCAATCTTGTTTATCCTTTCAAAGAACCAGCTCTTGGTTTCATTGATTTTCTGTATTGTTTTTTTTGGTCTCTATGTCATTTATTTCTGCTCTAATCTTTATTATCTCCTTCCTTCTGCTCACTCTGGGATTTTCTTGTTGCTCTCTTTCTAATTCTTTGAGTTGTAGAGTTAGATGATTTACTACCATTTTTTTCTTGTTTTTTTGAGATAGGCCTGTAGAGCTATAAACTTCCCTCTCAGGACTGCTTTCATTGTGCCCCATAGGTTTTGGATTGTTGTGTTTTCATTGTCATTAGTTTCCAGGATGTTTTGAATTTCTTCTTTGATTTCATTGGTAACCCAATCAATATTTAATAGCATGCTATTCAGCTTCCAGGTGTTTGAGTATTTTGGGTTGTTTTTATTGTAGTTTATTTCTAATATTATGCCATCGTGGTCTGTGAAGACGCTTTTTATGATTTCAATCTTCTTGAATTTGGGGATATTTTGCTTGTGACCCAATATATGGTCTATTTTTGAATATGTCTTATGAGCATTTGAGTAGAATGTATATTCCCTGGCTTTGGGGTGAAGTGTTCTGAAGATGTCTATTAAGTCCATCTGATCTAGTGAGTCATTTAGGATTGCTGTATCTTTGCTGATTGTTTGTCTAGAGGGCTTATCCAGTGCTGTCAGTGGTGTATTAAAGTCCCCTACTATGATTGTATTGTTGTCGATCTCTCCTTTGATATCTTCCAGGAGTTTTTTTATGAATTTGGGTGCTCCTGCATTGGGTGCATATATGTTTACCAGGGTTATATCTTCTTGTTGTATTGATCCCTTTAGTATTATGAAGTGGCCTTCCTTATCTCTTGTTATGGCCTTCACTTTGAGGTCTATTTTGTCCGATATAAGTATTGCTACCCCAGCTTTCTTTTCCTTTCCATTTGCCTGAAAGATATTTTTCCATCCTTTCACTTTCAGTCTGTGTGAGTCCCTTCTAATGAGGTGGGTTTCTTATAGACAGCAGATGTATGGGTCATGTTTTTTTATCCATTCAGCCACTCGATGTCTTTTGTTTGGAGCATTTAGTCCATTTACGTTTAAAGTTATTATTGAAAGGTACTTGTTTGTAGCCATTTCTTTTTTTGTGTGGCTGTTTTCTTTCTGAGCTTTTTATTTCTTATTTTTATACCAGTCCCTTTAGCATTCCTTGCATTGCTGGCTTGGTGGTGATAAACTCCCTTAGCCTTTTTTTGTCTGTGAAGCTTCTTATTTCCCCTTCAAGTTTGAATGATAGCCTTGCTGGATAGAGTATTCTTGGATTCAGTCCTTTGCTTTGCATCACTTTGTAAATTTCTGTCCATTCTTTTCTGGCCTGATGTGTTTCTGTTGAGAAATCATTTGACAATCTAATGGGAGATCCCTTGTATGTAACTTTCCGTCTCTCTCTTGCAGCCTGTAAGATTCTCTCTTTGTCCTGAACATTTGCCATGGTAATTATGATGTGTCTTGGTGTGGGTCTTTTCGGGTTCACCTTGTTTGGGACTCTCTGGGCTTGTGTGACTTTTTTCTTCCCCACCTCAGGGAAGTTTTCTGATATTATTTCTTCTAATAGGTTTTCTAATCCTTGTTCATCCTTCTGTTGTTCTGGTACCCCTATTATTCGTATGTTGTTTCGTTTCATGTTGTCCCAAAGCTCCCTTAGGCTCTCCTCCTGTCTTTTAATTTTTTTCTCCAATTGTAGTACATTTTAGGTGTGTTTTGCTTCCTTGTCTTCTAGTTCACTAATTCGGTCCTCCGCTTCTCCTAGTCTACTGTTGATACTTTCAATGGAGTTTTTCATTGCAACTATATCACTCTTCATTTCTTCTTGGGTCTTACTTAAGTTGTTGATTTTTTCATCTGTTTCTTCTAGCTTCTTCCATATGTTATCGATTTTTTCATCTGTTTCTTCTTGCTTCTTGCAGAGGTTGTCGATTTTTTCCTCCATCTGGTTTATGCACTCTAGGACCCTTATTCTGAATTCTTTTTCTGTCCTGTTGCATGCCTCTGTATTACTTAGCTGCTTTTCTGGAGAGTCCTCCTACTCTTTCCTTTGGGGGTTTCTTTGTCTACCCATGTTTGATCTCACTGACATATCTAGACATTGAGTCGTTCAGTGGTTGCTCCCTTGGTGGCAGTGACTCCTTGGTCTGTGGTTGCTCTTCGGGCAGTTGCGGTAGCAGCTGCTCTTCAGTTGGCAGCAGCTCCTCTGGTGGGTGCTGTTCACAGCTGTGGTGGCTCTTCTGGCTGGTGGGGCGAGGTTTCACGTACAGCTGCTGTTCCTCAGCAGAGGGTGTGGTGCTCAGGAGGTTGCTGTTGCTTGGATCTGCTGCGTTGATTTAAAGGCACAAAATACAACACAACAAGGCACCACGTACCAGGCACTATACACAAATATATTCACGATATTAATAACCCCAAATAAAGGTGACCACCTGAATTAAGAGAATTAGGGGATAAGGAAGAAGGAAGAGAAAAAGATAAAAGAGAAAAAAGAAAAGAAAAGTAGGGACCAAAAAAAGGAGTGCAAAAATGAAATTGGGAAAAAGGAGGGGGGAAAATAAAAGCGAGAAAAGAAAAGAAAAGAAAAAAGAAAAAAAAGAGTGAAAAGAGAGAATGAAGTGGAAGAGGGGAAGAGACTTTTTATATGAGGAGAATACTCCTATAGAACAGCCACTAATCCCAACAAATTCCAGCAACAGCTCCCTGGAGATGAATGCAAACTAGAAACAACCAATAATATAACGATGAAAATAGAATGGAGAACACTAATCCCAAAATAAAATAAAGAGAAAATAAAATGGCACTTTAAAAAATGGTAAAATGGTAGCAGTAATAATACTGGTTAAAAATAAGAAGGTAGTAATTAAAAGGGTAAAATCAGGTGATGGAAAAAGAAGAAAAAAAAAGAAAAAAGAAAAAAAGAAGAAGGAAAAAAAAAGAAAAAAAGATTGGTTTCTTAGTTAAAAGGTAAAAAAGAAAAAAAGTAAAAAGTTAAAAGTAAAAGTAAAAAGAAAAAAGTAGTTAAAAGTAAAAAGAAAAAAAAAATTGCAGTAGTGAAGGTCCTTCGGTTCTTCTGTTCTTCAGTGTGGCTCGCCTTAGACCTGCCAGGTATTCAGGAGAGTGTTGAGTTTCCCTGCGATACACTGTTCCTCTGTGTTGTAAACCACAGTCCTTATTTTAAAGCAGGCTGCATTTGTTTCCCAGACTGCCTTATTTTGTGTTTAGCAAAGAGTCAGTTTGTGGGTCAGCCTCTGGGTGGCAGTGTTCTGGGGTTGGCCTCTGAGGCTATAGGGCCTCTCTGTCCAGTGGAAGTTCACTGCCCAGAACTGGCTGCGTAATAGTTAGTTACCGGCGCTGTGTTGTTGCTGGGATTGAAAATCCCTCTATAGGCCAGACCCTGTTAACTCCCAGGGACTGATCAGGTTATTTTAATCCTTGACCTAGTACAGGGTGGAATCTGGGTGTGGCTGTGCTCCTTGCCTGGGGGCTGGGGGGAGGAGTCTCACTCTCCAGAGAGAATGGCTGCCCCAGTCCTGGGCTCAGGGGTGTCTCAGCACTCAATTCGCTGCCACCTCTCCCAGCCCCCCTTCTCTCCTCAGTCTCTCCCCAGATTCCACTCCTCCGCACACTCTCCCTCTCTTCATCACAGGTGAGTGTCTGTATCCGAAATGTCCCATGAACAGGATTCAGTGAAAACAAACAAACAAACGCCGGCCGCGGAAACGGGGAAGGCTTGGTTTCTGTAAGCTTCTTCTCTTACCGGGACTGCATGGTCTGGTCAGCTCTTCAGGCTGCCCTCTTTAGGCTCAGTCCTCTGTGATCACAGAACCCAGCTCTCAATTCCCCTGGCGGCGTGAGGAATCCCGCGGTTCTCCTTTCCCCCGTCAGGGGCTGTGCCTGTCCCAAGGGACGCGGCTGTCTGCCACACGGTCTCCCTCCGACTCTCTGGGCTCAGAGGTCTGGCAAACTTTCCTGCCCAAATCCCTGGTTTTTTTACCTTTCCAGGGGAGTTCTGCTCTTCCCGGCTGCAAACTGTCTCACCAGCTGAGCAATTTCGCCAGTTCGGTGTGGGTGTTATTAGTTTCAGCTGCTCATTCCATTTGCTCTGGGACACGACCTGGGACGCGTCTGCCTATATCGCCGCCATCTTCCGTCTCTGTTTTTCTATTTCTTAATGGTAAAATATGCACACTCTAGATACCTGAGAAATATGCCCTTTGAATATACATTTTAAACACAAGCATTTTTACTTATATGGAGTCACCCTGACTCAGCCTGAATGATATCATAGATCCTAGTCCTCTTAAAAATAAAGAGCAGGATAGACCTCGCTTTAGCTTCTCTACAGTACTGCCCATAACAACCAAAATCCGCAAAATAGTGAGGCTTCTGGAAAGAGACTCTTGAAAGGATGAATAATCGAGGGTATAATCTGTTGATGACATAGTAGACAAATAGATCATTAAAACACAATAGGGAGTCCAGAAACATAGTTCAAACAATACAATGTAGAAAAGAAAATCTTCAATAAGGGGAGAGTAACAACTGGAAATTCACATACAGAAAAATGAAACGTTGTGCCCAGCTTGGGTGGCTCAGTGATTGAGCATTGACCTATGAACCAGGAGGTCACCATTTGTTTTCCAGGCAGGGCACATGCCTGGGTTTCAGGGTCATTCCCCAGTAGGCGACATGCATCATTGATGTTTCTATTTCTCCCTCTCCCTTCCTCTCTGAAATCAATAAAAATATATATTTTTTTAAATTAAACTTTGTTATAGTATTAAAGTTTTTGGAATCACTTCTGTTTATGTCACTTGTTTTGTTTTGTTTTTCTGAACTTCAGGTACAAATGGGTAAGTTAATGCTACCTTTGTTTATGATATATTATCATTTTCCATGAAATACATCTGATTATTGCTATTTTAGGAGAGAATTTAGAGTTTATAAATACTTTCTCTGTGTGTGTCTCACACACTTTTATGTGTACTATTGTACATACATATGCACATAAGCATACACGTGTGCACGCTGAAATGCAGGGATACTGCAGCTAATGAAGGTTAATACAGAATAGGATTTCAGCTACCACCTTATGAAAATATGAGATGGACCAAGTAGATTTCCAGCAATTCTGTATTATCTGGGCTTCTTTGACCTAGAGGACCAAGGCAGTACATGCCAGTGCCTCTATGACTCATGTACATCCTCCTGCCACTTTCTGCTGGCAGAGATTTAAAGGACTTGATTGGGATGGGATGGGTGCCATTGAATCCTCCAAATGGAATAAGTTGTTGAATTGATAACTCTATCAAAAAACATGTTCTTAGTTGCTTGGGTACTTGAGCAGGAGGAAATGAGGGTCCAGAGGATTATGTGGAGGTTGGAGAATCCCTGCTAGTGCATAAGGCAGTACTGATACCTGAGAAATTCCACAGTGCTTACCTGCAGGTGGATACCAATGTCTGCATATGGTGTGAGTCAGGGATTACTATACTTGGAAATCAGGGAGGGAATTGAATAGCTGAATGCCATGGCCTAATTAGCATAAAAACCTCTGTACATTTGATATTCTTATCCATAAGGTTTCTGTGTTTCTTTGCTTTTTATTATCAACTCTACTCATAGTCTTCATTCTTGTGGCCCTAGGGGAGGAGGAGAGTCCTCTGCATTTCTTGAAGACTCGCTGCCTGTTTGTTGGTTAGGCTGGGAGTAGGGAACACACCCAGGTGAACACTGGAGTTTCATGACAGGAGGGTCTGGATATTGTGCATAAGATTGGAGTCTCAAGGCTTCTTTCTCTGTCCTCAGCTTTGCCTGTGTCCTTTTGTCTGTGAGTGAAAACCCAGAGAAAGATACCTGGCAACTGAGTCACTGACCATGCAGCCGCTGGTGAGTAGGAATGCCTCTTTCTACTGGAATCACACTGCTGTTGACATCAGTGGGCAGATTTCTCCTACTTCATCACTGTCCTAAGCAATCGGGAGGTAGTCAGAGATCTGAGCTCCAGTGAAATTTCCCCAGGTCTCTGAGATGGCTGTAATGGGTCAGGAACCTCCCAATGACTAACATTCTTCCTAACATCATACTGACTTATTCCAGCAGGTTGTACATGTGCAGAAGAGATGAGAGAAGCTTTCTCTAATTCAGTGCATGGCCTCACTGGGAAATAATGAACTCCTTAATCATGCTATTGACTACAGAGGTGGGTGGGTGCAGTGAATAGAGATGAACGAGAAGTAGACCTGGGGAGGCAGTTGTTTCATCAGGGAGGCCAGTCATTGAATGTTACAGGTGCTCGGTGAGCATGAGGAATCATTCATTTATTTTTTCCATGTTAAATGGAAGGTCTTGCTAGAATATATTTTCACTTTTGAAAAATTCTTAGAAGACACCTAAAATTCTCATGATCATTCTTGTCCCAGTTACACATTTTGTCTTTCTGTAATTGACCCTTCCTTCATACTTGGTAGCTGGAATTCATGCCTATGCACTTTTATGCCTTACCTGCAGCTGTGCATGCAGGGCAGGGAGTAGAGCAGAGTCAAATGTAGGGCCCTGGAAAATCGTTGGAGAACTAGATAGACCAATCCAGGGGCTCTTCTATCCATTAGCTGGAGACAAGATAAAGCTACAAAGGACACAGTGACAACTGCTGCTTGAGGCCCCAGATAAAGTCAAGGATGGGAGGCCTCATCCCACAGGGCGGTCAGGTTAGGACTGTCCTTCAGCACAGCCTCTCAGAGCCCTGGCTTGTGCTGATGACCATCTGACCTGTTGTTTATTATGAACACCTGAGTCCTGTAGCATTAAGACAGACAGCACCTACTGGTACCAAGTTCTGTGTGAAACTTACTCATTTCTGAGGAATGCCGGAGATTGCTTCAAGGATCCTGGACATTTTAGTGAGTTAAAGACCAATGGCATGTATTTAATACATGTTTACATAGAAAAGATTAATTCATGGAATCTTTCAACACTCACAACACATTATTAAACCCTTTCATAGACAAGGAGTCTGAGGTTCACGCAGGGGAATGATGTAACTATAGTCATGATTCAACAGTGGCAAATCACAGTTATCGTTTGCCTTAATTAGAAGTCTGTAAAATTACTTGACATTAACCAGGAAGTGAGTTTTACTTATAACTTTTTAAGGGTCTGGAAGTAAAAATCAGTTCTGGAAAATTTCAAGGTTATATTACACCATATTTCATATGATTTTCCTTTTTAACAAAGACTGATTAGTTCAGACTATGAATATGTCTGTGATATATCTGAAAGGCAGATGCCAGCTCAGCACTGAGAACCCCAACTTCAGTTTGATCTTGCTATATACCCAGCTCCTCATCCCCCTTTCTTAGGTTGCCATCTCTACCCTCCTACTCTGGACATTGGCTGGGGTTACTCTGTCGAAACCAGAATGTCCTTGATGTTTCAGGAATCAGTGATATTTGAAGATGTAGCTGTAGACTTCACCCAGGAAGAGTGGGCCCTGCTGGAAACACCCCAGAGAAAGCTGTACAGAGATGTGATGCTGGAGAACATCAGTCACCTGGTTTCCCTGGGTGAGTGTGTCAACTTTTATGTTTGTATGTGTGTATGTAAATAGGTATTCATGCATTCATTCAACAATTATCTAGAATAGCTTCCGCAGCCCACTCCTCTCTCTACCATGATTCTGTCATAGACCTTGTCTCTTTTCATTTACTTACACCTAGTTTCTCACCCAACTAGAATGTAATCTTGATCCCAATTTAATGTCTTTCTTACTACTCAATATCTAACACTCAGAAGAGAACTGGGAGCTCAATGAATATTTTTGAATGCTTAAATCAATTGATTAAATTTTCTAAATAATTATTCTGTTCTAGTCACTATGCTGAACTTAAGACCAGAGTAGTGAAAATGACAAACTTGATTATTCTTTTGAAACTTACATTTGAAAATAATATTCAAGTCACTTTGGAGACATTTAATTTCCCCATTTTTGAAAAGATGGAAGATTCTGCTTTCTGACTGAATGTAAGGGTGGACATCAGCACCCAGAGGTCTTACTACTGTGGACATGTGACTTGGATTTCTTACCTATTTTCTTTGTTAAAGGTGTTGGTGCCTTTGATGACCTTCAGTGATCTTATTCTTCCTCAGTAGCCTGTCGTGGACTTAATGAGAATGCATTTTTATTAGTACACTAGTGCCCAGTGCATGGATTTGTGCACATTAAAAGGAAATTAATTAGAAGGTGGCCAGCAGATCGGGACTGGGCAAGATGGGCCAGACATGCCCTGGAGCCAACCTCCTGTGGTCCCTCCCTGGCCAGCCACACCTGGGGCAGCGCCACGGCTCACAGAGCATCTACAGAGTGAGCAGGGTCCCTCCAGCATGTGAGGTCCCTCAACCTGGCCTGTGGGGATCAGGCCAAAACCGGCTCTCCAACATCCCCCAGGGGGTCCCAGATTGCGAGAGGGTGGTTCTCGGGTGACACACCCCAGGATCGGGCTCTCTCCTCTCTGTTTTTGGGGTGTGTGACCTGAGAACCACCACTACGAAGTCACTGCAGCTCGGCAGCTCCTGCATTGAGCATCTGCCCCCTGGTGGTCAGTGTGCATCATACCAGCCAGTCGGACAGTCAGAAGGTCACTTAGCCTTTTATATAGAGAGAGATATCTCAAAATCCATATAACTTTCTTTCACAAACAGGGTATCGGATCTGCAAATCAGATGTGACTTTTCAGCTAGAGCAAGGAGAAGAGCTATGGAGTGAAGGGACTGGGTTTCTCCAAGGCCAGAGTGCAGGTGAGCAGCAGGGGTCAGGGCTTCAGTGTGAGGAGATGTCTGCTCAGTGACTGAGTAAGTCCTTAGACCAGTGATGGCAAACCTTTTGAGCTCGGCGTGTCAGCATTTTGAAAAACCCTAACTTACCTCTGGTGCCCTGTCACATATAGAAATGTTTTGATATTTGCAACTATAGTAAAACAAAGATTTATATTTTTGATATTTATTTTATATATTTAAATGCCATTTAACAAAGAAAAATCAACCAAAAAAATGAGTTCGCCTGTCAGAGGTGACTGACATGCGTGTGATAGGTTCACCTCACTGCCTTAGACTATCAAGTAAAGGCTTTGGGAAGTTTGAGTGATATTTTTCAAAATGTAGATGGACAATGAAGCAAAATTATTCAGATGCTGTCATTATTCCATTCATATATATATATATATATATATATATATATATAAATTTACATATATATCAGTCACAATTCATGTGTCCTGTCATTGGCTTGAGGGATAAGGATTTTCATATGCTATTAAAGTTAAGCTTTCACATAATAATCTTGTTCTGATCCTTCCCTTTGAAAGTTTCCCTCTCTTTTGCTACCCAACATCTATTTTATGTTTTTTGTACTTCAATCCTGAAAATCTTTACTAATTGTCAGTGCCTTTGGGTGTGTTTCTACTTCCTTAGGGTATTCCCCATCAGTATGCCAATTTTTGAGACATACTCACATCTTCATTCCCCTAAAGCCATTCTAATTTTTTAAAAATTATTTTAGGCAGGGAAAGTGCCATTCAAAATGAAGAAATGATAGCCACACAACATACCAGTGGAAAGGACACATTTACAATCATGCAATTGGTAAGTTTCATGAGTGTTCACTCTGGTCATCCAAATTAAAACTTGGCAATTGGATGTTAGTACTTGAGTACAATAGTGTGATTTATGTCAATTTGGGATAAAGCTTTTACTGAGCAAAAAACTTGGAGTAGTTTCAATGTAGAGAAGGAATTAACCTAAGCTCATAACTATAACCTGAGATATTAATAGAAAGGACAACTGCATAAATGTTGTTTGTATACCTAGTCTTTGAAACATATTGAAGTTTTCAAAAGTAACCTATAAGCTCTGTAGTTGGGATGCTACAGAAGAGAAAATCTGTGTGTGGAGTGGAGTAACACACCAGGCGTATGTAGGCATCGTTGGAAACATTTTAATTGGATACCGTCACTGAAAGATTAGTTTAGTACTCATATGTAGAGAAGTGAATGTATGAACTTATGTGGGCAAATCAATTAACAGCCTTTCATCTTTTTCCCCAAAGCAGAAATTTCACACTCAAGAGGATCCCTATGAATATAATGATTTGGGAGCTTTCACTCATAGCTCCATAGTGACTCAACATGTGTTAACTCATATGGAAAAGAAACCCTGTATCAGCAAACAATATCAAAAATCCTTTAGTGACCAGTCTTATGTTAATCAACATAAGCAACTTTACACCAGAGTTAAATCATATGAGTGCCATCTATGTAGGAAAACCTTCAGTAATTGCTCTAGCCTTAGAAGACATGAGATGACTCACACTGGAGAGAAACCATACGAATGCCACATCTGTGGGAATGCCTTTATTCAGAGCTCTGACCTTAGAAAACATAGTCTCACTCATACCGGAGAGAAACCTTATGAATGTCATATATGTGGGAAAGCCTTCAGTCAGTCGTCTAACCTCAGACAGCACCAAAGGACACACACTGGAGAACAACCGTATGAGTGTTGTCAGTGTGGGAAAGCCTTCAGTAAATGTTCTGCCCTGAGACGACATGAGAGAACTCACACAGGAGAGAAACCTTATGGATGTCATCTGTGTGGGAAAGCCTTCAGTCAGTGTTCTGCCCTTAGACGACATGAAGGAACCCACAATGGAGAGAAAATTTTGAATGCCTTCAGTAAATATTCTGACCTGAGATGACATGGTATTATAAGTAATGAATATAGAAGAAAACTCAATCATAGTTTTAACATTAAAAAACAGCAAGGACTCACACATTAAGGAAACACTGTCTGTGATCAATGTGGAAGGTCCTGCAGTCATTCTTACTCATCTTCCATGTGCAAATGTAGATGGAAGACAATCCAGTTGCATGGAATCTCTCTGGCAAAGCCTTCAGCCACTCGTCTGACCATAGGTGACATGGGAGAACTCACACTGGAAGTATAAAGAATGCAGAAGTCTGCAGCAACAGCTCTCAGCTTCATACTAGAAAATTCACACAGGGGAGAACCCCTCAGTCTGCAGTCACTGGGAATGCTTTCATTTATAATTCATGGTAAACAATGTGAGCAAACCCCACTTGGGAGAACCTCTAGGTCTGTAATTGCTATGAACATTTATTCAGCCAAACTCCAAGCATGGTGTGCACAAGAAAACTCAGTGATGAAATAACCACTAGACCAGTATTTAGGAGACTAAAACCTCTTGAGTAATACCAATAATTTTTCCTTGGGAAATGATTCAGTGAAAAGTTATGAGAAGTCCTTTATTCAGAGAGGAATGCTGTGGCTCATATGAGAATTTGGAGAATAGAAAACACGTTCTGTGTCATGAAAGAAGGACAGAGATCACTCATTTATAGTCAGCACTACAGTCCTCATGTTGAGGGGACAGCAGTTCTATACTCAAAGTGGAGAAAGCTTCTGCTGGATTTCATACCTGAAAACTCAGTCTAGGGAAGAAAATAAACCCTCTAGGGGTTTAATTAACATACTACTTAGCACATGATTCATACTTTTCAGGGGGAAAAAAACTATTCCTGGGGAAAATATGTCATATAAATGCAAGATAGGGTGATCTGAGAATATTAAATGCAAAATTTTGTAAGAAATTAGATTAAACTTTTTCAATAGATTATTGCTATTAAACAATAAACTGTTGCTGAAAAAATCTATGTTGATAAAATCCTGGTTTTCTTTTTTTACACAGTTGTAAATGCAGATGTGGGAGTCTGCACACCTTGGCATGTGTGTTAGAGGTTCAGCCTGTCTCTCTGAGTATTCCTTTCTCCCACAGCTGCTTTCATACAGCTCACCATCTTCTGTCTTCATCTGTGTCCTAGTGGTCACAGCAGGGACCTTTGACAGGTTTCTCTGCGCTGTGAGCCCGGCCCAGCAGGGCATGGGACAGTGTCATAACTAGTACAAACAGTAACATAGGCTCCAGCCCTGCCCCTGCCCCTGCCCCTGCCCCTGCGCAGCTCTGCCCTTCCAGGCCAAGAATTTTTGCATTATTCCATGATGTTTCTGATTCCAACTAATTGGGGCAGAAGTTCGTGCCACATCTTATTTAGATGAGTCCTGAGTTACGTACTTACTCATTCCCCAAACTGAGCCAGTGCTGTGTGTTCCCACAGCAGCCCAGAAAGAAAACTCCAGCAAGATAGAATTACTTTGCCCCAGGGGTTGGGAGTATATTACTCTTCAACCAACCCCAATACTGGACCTGAGCCTCAAGGAGAAATGCTCTCGAGACATACCTGGGATGGTCTGTGCTCTTCCAAAACTGGCACAATCCCAAATCAGCCTGCGACCAGTGGAAGGAGCACTTCTCTGTGTGACATTAACACGTCATTATTTTTTAGAAAGCTCCTCCACTGACTCTGCAGCTGGAGTGGGGGGCAGCCAAGTCATGGATGAGGAGATTAGCAATCAGAGTTCAACATCTCGGCCCTCTGGCTAGAGAGACATAGGTTGTGATCAGCCAGGGACACACGGAAGTGTGAACAAGGGTCAAAGAGAACACATTTGTGGTGAGAAGTTCAGACTGTGGAGACACACCCCAGGGGTTCTAATTGCCACTGTCACAGCCCATGAGACCTTGTAACTGAACCTTTCTGTGACTCAGTTTCTTCATTTCATAGGTGGAAATAGCTGAGTGCCTTTATCTGAGAGTTGCTATGAGCACTAATGTATTGATACTGTATATACCAAGTTATTACAGCTGGTGGGCACTTGGTGTTTGCAAATAAAAATATTTTACTAGGTACGCTTGAAACCTGCTCCGGAATAAATTTGATTACAAATATACTTTTTAGCATTTACGTTGCTATCTGGGTACACCAGTCTTCTTTTATCTTATTTTTTACATTGAAATATTTTATAATCATTTTCTAAAATAAAGTCAGATATTATTACATAACTACTTAATTATGTAATAATTACATAACTACATAACTACATAATCTACTTAATATATAATTTGTCTCCAAACTGTAGCTGACTTCAGGTGTGATCCAGGGTAAAATTTGCATTTTCCTCCATGTTCCTTCCCAACTAATAGGGGCTTTGGCATGCACCACAACATCTTAGTAACAGGCACCAGGTGAGCCCCGTGTTTATGTCGCTCTCTGTAACCCATATTCCACCTCCATAAATCTGTCCCCCTGTTTCCTTTCAAATGTGTCCCTGCTTTGTGGTGACTCACTGACCTCCTTCTCTCCCCGCAGGTGAGATGCTGGAACTGCAGGGCCTTTGGGCACAAGGCAAGCAGGTGTCCACTGAAGCGTTGGAATAGGTACCCAGTCCCCCAGGCCATGGGCTTCAATATGATGGAGGAAAACCTGAAACTATCCTATGCAGTTCATATCTTTTCTTAAGATCTTTTTGTCGTTGTTGGTTTAATTTTAGTTTCTACTTGATAGTGAGAAAATTCTAATATATAACATCGGTGTTGTTTCTCTTACAGGATCCACACACGCTGAGACCTGATCACAACACAAGAGGAAATATGTGAGAGACCCTGATCTCACCCCTTGGTCACCGAAAAGGAAATGTGTCATGACATCCACAGCACTTCCTATTGAAGGTGTTGAGAGAAGCACCTGCTTACCTCCTGTACCAAAGAATGGACAGGAAGGTCCTGTTACAGACTCCCCTCATGCAGAAGGCACACGCTTTGGTCAGGATCCCAGCCACAGTGTCCATGAGGGGGACAACAGGCCCCATTCTGCCTTCAGCACCCAGGGCCTGGACCAAGCCCTCATCCACCAGCCACAGGCCAAGTTCCCTGACGGGAACTCACACAGCATCCAGCATGCTGCTGCACACAGTGTGGGCCAGGACTCTGATCTCATCATCAAGGTACCCGGCAAGAGAGCTGCCCAGACCTCCAGCCATATTTTCTAGAAACCCCAAAGAAACCGAGACTCAGCCCCAGCTGGAAGAGCACCCAGAGACAAGACCTTCAACCTCCGCTCCAGCACCCTCTCATCAAGACTCTCCAGCCCTGCCATGTGTCCCAGTTCCCACCAGTTCCCGAGGTTCCAGGCCAGCCCCTCAGAATGGTCTTCACCACATTAGACAAAGGCCAGTGGAGTTCCAGGTGCACGACACCTCCATCCTCCCTCCTGCTGAGATGCTCACAGCTGCTGCTCAGATCCCTCCCACCACTGAGAAGTCAGAGGCATTCTGTCCTTGTGTCTCCTTGAGTGTCCTCCTTGAGGCCCTTCAGCTGTCCTCTTCCTCTGAAGAAGGTGATGGCCAGTGAGACACTCCATGTCAGAGAAGACATGTTCTTCAGTCCCAGGCCACCTGGAAGTACCTGAGGAACTGGAGAGGGATGGTCACTTGGGGAAAATGTTTCTGGGGAATCAGAGCTTCCCTTCTGTGCTGTGTGGACAGATGGTGGAACCCTGATCATGCTTGGGGCACAAGGCTCAGTTATTGGACTTTAATGTACCTAGGTGTAGTGGCATTTCAAATGGTGCTTTTATAATAAACTATTTGTTCTTATAGAACTGGTAAGGGAAGTATGTATTTAGAAATTTTCATCCATTGTATGTAAAAGTAAGTTAAGTTGCAATAATTGCCCTTAAGTCTAGTGGAAATAGGAAGCTCTGTAATGAATCGGTATCAGGTGTGCACCTGTCTGCTTTGGGGAACCTGGGGCAGGGCCACCTGTGTGGTCTGGAGATTTGAAGTAGTGCCTGTGGTCCTGAGGTGAGACTCTTTCACTGTGCTGTGTTATTTCAATGGAAATCAGGACAGGGACCCTTCCCATGACTTTGTACCTTTTGTTTATGGAATGTCATATTAAAGTTCTGTTTTAGAGTTTGTGTTTGATATCAATAAAAGTCTGCAAAATAGGTCACATTGTGCTTGGTTTTCATTTCTGTTCATTTTAGAACATTTTTCAAACAATGACTGTGCCTCAGAGCTCATGTCACTGAAAGTAGATGGGAATATGATGTACTTTGAGGTGGATTAGCTTGGGCAACACCTGCAGTTCCTTGTATAATCCCTTCTTCTCAGTCAACATTGTGTCCTCCCTATGGGGCACTAACCGCCTTTAGGGCCTCGCCCTCCAAAGGTGTCTTGTGGTCTTTCATGAGCCTCAGGGTTCCTCCCTGGACATCTCAGTCTCTTCCCATCCTACCCCCACCCCAGGACCAGTCCTTGATCTTTATAACTTCAGAATATTTCCAGCATCCTACCTCTGCCCCCACCATGCTCTGAGAATGAGAGCTCTGCATGGGTTCTAGAAAAAGGATCCCAAAGGTTCCTTTAAGTGTTCAATTTACTCATAGGTATGCTGTGTCTCAACATTGGTTAATTCATATAAGAAAAAAACCTTACATCAGCCAGTGAAGAGCTATGCCTTAGAGACACATTGAAATTCACACTAGAGGAAAATTATGTGAATGTGAGAAAGCCTTTAGTAATGCCTTCATCCTCAGATGACACAAGATCACACTGGAGAGAAATAATTTAAATGTCATCTATGTGGGAAAGGCTTTTTGCAAAGATCTGAACTGAGAAATACAATCTAACGCACAGGTTTGGGAAACCTTATGAAGGTGAGTGTGGGGAAGCCTTCAGTCAAATTCTTACTTGAGACAACATGAGAGAATTCACACAGGAGAGAAACTTTATGAATGTGGTGAGTGTGAGAACCCCCTCAGTCCACATGCTAATCAAAAGACACCAGAGAACCCACACTGGAGAACAGCATATGCACATCAGCTATGCAGGAAATCCTTCAGCAGTCATTGTCCTTCCCTTAGAAAACATGAGTAAATTCAATACAGGAGAGGACTCATGAAAGCCTCCAGTAGATAGTCTGACCTGCACTGCCATGACATGTCATTGCACATGTAATAAATACAGGAGAGACATCAATCACAGCTTTATCATTTAAACACACCTGCAGACTCATACATGAAAGAAACACTCAGCAATGTGGGAGATCCATTTATCTTCATACTCCTTGGCCCAGAAAAGCCTTTATTACGTGAGTGCATCCATATGTATGGTATTTTTGTGCAAGCCTTTAATCATTGGCCTGATCTCAGGTAACATGACAACTCACATTGTAAAAATGCTAATTTAGATGTCCTCAGCAACAGCTCTGCACTTTGAAGATGCTTGCCACATTCTTCAGAGGATAATACATAAGGCTACATTTATAATTATTGGTAAAAGGAACAAATTTCACAAGAAATAAACACTAGGGCTGTGGTCACTATTGGCAAACATTCAGCCAACTACCAGGCTTGTGTGTACATTAAACACAGGGAGGACACAACACTAAGACAGGAAATCAGAACATTACCCCTCTTGAGGAAATCCAAACATTTCTTTACAAATCATTCACTCTAGTGAAGTTATTCAGGGCAAAATCACAAGAAACCTTTTCTTTATAAAGCAACACTAGTGGTCAATGTGAGGATTCATACTGTACAAATGACTGTGTCAGAAGGATAAGGCATTCATTGATCACTTATTTCTTAGTCCAACTTAAGTTTCACAAACCAATGAGATAGGAATCCTAAAACCAAAGCAGAAATAGCTTATATTTCATCTCGGAAGCCATGATCCTCTGTGTGTGTGTCTGTGTGGGTCAACATTTCTAAACGAGTTTTTCAACACATAACTCAGCAAATAATGAGTCTTTCAGGAGATAAAGTTGTTTACAAATGTAAGGCATTAAATGCAAGAGGGTAAAGTGATCAGGAAACATTGAGGGTAGAATTTTGTAAGAAATTCATCTTAAAATGTAGCAATGCTTGCAGATACTTCAACAATAAAATCTGTGGCTGAAAAAGCTAAATGTTGGTGTTCTAGTTTTCCTCATGCCGTTTTCAACACATGCATTCAGATCTGTACCCCTTGCCTGGCGGGGAGAGAACCAGACCTCAGGTTCACACAGCCCTTTCTCCAATGGCTACTTCGACACATCTCAATTCCTTCATTTATCTTCCATCCAACACCATCTGTCTCATTCCAAGCCATGGTGCTGACACAAGTATGGTCTTCAGCCCCACATGCTAGATGTCTCTGAGTGGGATGACCCTGCTCAGGCAAGGTCATGGGGGCATATCAAAGGCATCCCACCTAAAAACCTTGGTTTTACCTCATCCTAGGTTTCCAACATGAGGACAGGAGACAGTATTCTGCCCACAGAAACCTAGAAAGCTCTTTGATTTTTGCTCTCAAAGTTCTGAATTAAGATACACTGAGGTAATTGGAGGGTGCGGGGTGGACCGCAAAGTCTCTGAGCATACCCTATATCAGTGATGGCAAACCTATGACAGGCGTGTCAGAGGTGACACGCGAACTCATTTTTTGGTTGATTTTTCTTTGTTAAATGGCATTTAAATATATAAAATAAATATCAAAAATATAAATCTTTGTTTTACTATGGTTGCAAATATCAAAAAATTTCTATATGTGACATGGCACCAGACTTAAGTTAGGCTTATTCAAAATGCTGACACGCCGAGCTCAAAAGGTTCGCCATCACTGGTCTATATCTTAGTTAAATCAGTATTTTTGCATCATACAATAATTTCAACTTGGGCCTTAGCTGTTTCTTCCCCAACCCAAGGATCAGCCCAGAAAATAAAGCTGTAGTAAGATAATTTCCCTAGTCCTATTAGCCAGTCCTTAAGCTGCTTTGTAAATAATTAAGAAAATATGCTTGCCCCAAGCAAAATGAAAGGATTTCACCACTTTGTTCCTAGAGATGAAAATGTTCTCCTTCAACAAACACCCTTATTGAACCCAAACATCAAGGTGCTGACCTGTGCTCTTCCCAACAAGCACAGTCCTCAAACCACGGGCCTCACTGAGACCCAGTACATGAGTACATTCTGAGGTTGAAATGGACATGTACTTCTTTTTCTAAAATCTCTCCCCAGGTGATTTCACCTTAGAGGCAGGGTGGGAAAGTGTTAACCACATCAGAGGAAGATGAGGAACTAAGTCTATGGTTCACCTAGGACCGTGGTTGGCAAACTGCGGCTCGCAAGCCACATGCGGCTCTTTGGCCCCTTGAGTGTGGCTCTTCCACAAAATACCACTATGGGCGCACACGTACAGTGCGACTGAAACTTCGTGGCCCAGAACGGTGGGCCACTAGAGAAAAACCATATGAATGTGGTCAGTGTGAGGACGCCTTTAGTCAGCATGCTAATCTCATAAGACACCAGAGAACCCACACTGGAGAACAGCACATCAGCTCTGTGGAAGTCCTCCAAGTCATTGTTCTTCCCTTAGAGGACTCTTCTCATGACTTTGCCCTTTCTGTTTATGAAATTCTATATTCAATTTCTGGTTTTCAGTTTTTGTTTGCTATTAATAAAATTCTGCAAAATATGTCACCTTGTGATTTCTTTTTATCCCAGTAATATATTTCAGGTCATCTCTTTATTGGTAGCTCATATTTCTCCATCTTTCCTTTTATCGTTATGTCTGCAGGTCCCACGGAAAACTCTAGCCCCGGGTGGTTAGTCGGATGGTCTGCTTGAGTCCCAAGACAGGGACTGTTCCCTGTACATAGAATGCACACAGAAAGACCTATCAGTGGATAAAGGAGTAGATGGAGCTGTCTAACATACTTTCACAGGGTCCTTTTTCACATCATTATAGGAGAATTGTAACTGGGTATTAGTCTGGAAAATCCAATCACATTGAACAGGGTGTGACCAACAGACTCTAATCCAATTTAAGCTCATTGGTATTTCCTGGATCAGGGTGTGTCCTAAGAACCTCGCACTAACTGGATTTACTGTCTTCCCAGAATAAAAGGGAGTTGAATAGTGAAAGGATCCATTTGCCACTAGACGAGGGAACTGAAGGTTTCGGGACATTGGAAGAAGAGGATTGGCTGCTTTGTGGACCTGGCCTCAGCATCCATTTGGCTCCACCATCTCCTCCAGTTTTCCATCTGGTGAGTTCTCTAAACACTACGATGTGAGCTGGCCACAGTCCCTTAACATTATATGTCATATCAAAGCAGCTTCTCATGATCTCCAAGTTTTATTGGGTCAATATTCATTCACCCCTACATTTCCGATATTTGACTGTTTGTGCTTCTTTTCCATCTTTGTCTTGAATCTATTTGCAATTTTGAATGCTTACCCCAACACCCTAGATCTTGCTGCCCAACATAGTACTTGCCAGCTGCATGGGAGTGTAAGATTTAAATTAATGAAATGAAATAGCTAAACTTCAGACCCCCGATAGCACTGGCCAAAGGCCCAGTGTTCTAAAATCAAGAGAGCCTGGCAGTGACAGTCTGCCACATGCTGTAGGGCAGCGGTCGCCAACCTTTCAGACCTCAAAGACCACCAGGGTCCGAGGACCACTGGTTGGCAACCTCTGCTAGAGGGATTTCCTTCCCTCAGAAAGCACTATTGGCTCTTTGATCTATATCTTATGTTTTTGTTCTTTTTATGGTTGTACAAGCTTCATTTTCTGCTTCTCTGAATTAATTTTCTTTCATGTGTTTCATCATGTGACATTTTTCATTTTATTTCTCAAATGTCTTGAGATAAGTGCTTATATTTATTTTAATCATCTAAAAATGAACATATTAAAGGCAAATAATTGTTCATGAATATTGCTTTAGCTTTGTTCCATTTGTACTTATGCATAAAATAACTATGTTTCTATGCCATTTTCATAATGTTTTTGAGTATTTTGTGCCAAAATTATTTTTTAATATATTTTTATTGATTTCAGAAAGAAATGAAGAGGGAGAGAGAAATAGAAACATCAATGATGAGAGAGTATCATTGGCTGCCTCCTGCACGCCCCCTACTGCAATCGAGCCCGAACCCCAGGCATGTGCCCTTGACAGGAATT